AGTATAGAGTANGTAGTAGAGTAGAAGAGAGAGAGAGTAGCTAAAGCTAAACAACCAATTTCTAAAAAACACTTTTTAATCCCTAAAAACCCACCCAATTGTTGGAAATGACTAAAACAGCTGTTGACAAGCACAGAAGGACAAAAGCAAAGTTCAAATTTTAGAGAAGATGAAAAAGAACTGGGCTTTTATTTTTTCTTTTTTGTAATTTTATGCTGCTATCATCGACTGAACCGGGTTCAGTCCCCGTTTGATGGACCTGAAGGTCCAAGGGGAATTGACCTGACTAGATAAGCAGCGAGTTCCCCAGTACCACCCCCCCCCCCCCACACCTGCACAAAACCCAAATAGAACCCATAAAAAAAGCACCCGTCCCCACCTCTTTTTTGGGTAGTTAAAACAAACCTTTTGGAATGTGGAAAAAGACTTTCTTCCTTCTGCCTGATGCATGTTTTGCCCCTTGATTAGAGTCCCAGGGAAGAGCTCTTGGTTCTAGGTACTTGCTTAGGCGCCGCCTAGGCAGACTAGGGGGTCCTGCCTAGGGTTAGTCACCTAGGGCCTCCCTGCCTAGTCAGCCTAAGTGGCTGATTGTTCACTGAATTGGACTATATCTTTTCGAAGGAATTTTCGTTTTTAGAAGAAATGCTTTATAAACCAGCAAGACCAATGGGCAAATATTCGCATGGTGTCAGAGTGAGCCACATGTTTCTAATGATCCCATGAATGAGATAATCATGCGGTATTCATGATTACGTTAATTGCTCAAAATAGACAACTATTGCAGCTCACAGATATGGATGACACTCGGACTATATCATAGACTTCTGTTCTCTTAGGTGTGTCTTGCACTAATAATTAATAATTGTCTGCATGAATAAATGGTCTTGTTACTACATTGAGATATTGGGAATACATAATCAGGGCAGTTTTATGATTTTTGATGCTTGAAGAAACTTTATATATTAGAAACTAAGCAATCTCTCCATGAGAAGTTTAATAAAGTGATCCTGATATTATTTATTGCCCATATTTGCAGATTTTTCAATTACTCCGAAAGCAACATTGGTATCATCCAAAATCTCAAACATATGTAAAACTCTTTCAAATGCTTGGCAAATGTAAACAACATGAGCAGGCAAGCTGGCTCTTCAAAACCATGCTCGCTGAAGGACTCAAACCGACAATTGATGTCTACACATCCCTTTTGGGTGTTTATGGCCTCAGTGGTCAGCTAGACAAAGCATTTCATGTGATAGATGAAATGAAGGCCATATCTGATTGTAAACCTGATATACGCACCTACACAGTTCTCATCAACTGTTGCTTTAGACTGTCCCGCTTTGATCTAATCAATTGGGTCTATGAGGAAATGTCCTATTACGGGCTTGAACTTAACACAGTCACTTACAATTGTATTATTAATGGATATGGCAAGGCTGGGATGCTCAATGATATGGAAAAAGCGCTAACAGAAATGCTTGAAACAGGTACATGCCTACCGGATATTTACACCATGAATTCTTTTATGTGGGCTTATGGTAACTATGGACAAATTGAAGAAATGGAGAAGTGGTATGATGAATTTCAGCACATGGGTATCGAGCCAGATATTCAGAGTCTTAATATCTTGATCAAGTCGTATGGTGGAGCTGGTATGCATCAAAAAGTGACATCAGTAATGGATTTTATGACGAGGCGGTATTTCTCACCAACAACTGTGACTTTTAATATTATTATAGAAACATTTGGAAGAGGGGGAAATATTGAAGAAATGGAGCGTATTTTCCGTATGATGAAAATGCAAGGAGTGAAACCTAATTGTATCACTTACTGCTCTCTTGTAAATGGATATAGTAATGCAGGGCTTCTGAAAAAGATCCCATCAATTTTGAGACAAATGGATAATTCTGGAGTGATTCCCGATACCCCACTTTTTAACTGCATCATAAATGCATATGGCAGTGCTGGAGATTTGGAAATGATGGAGGAGATGTTTGTAAAGATGAAGAAAAAGCAGTGCAAGCCTGATAATGTAACATTTTCAACAATGATCAAATCTTACACCAGTCGAGGTATGGTCGAGGCTGCTTCTGAGGTGGAAGATAAAATGCGTCATATGGAGCAGTATAGTTAGGTACTTAATTGTCTTCTTTTTATGTTTATTTTTTGGTATCTCAGACCTTAGAAAAAATTGCTGGAGACTTGGTTCATTAATTCTCTCTCTCTCACACACACACACACAAATGCCACAGGTTTCATTCTATATTTGTTGTTTCTTTTCTCTTGGTAACATGATAAGATCCATATCTGTGTTTCAGTTGTGCTGACGTGGCCTATTTGCTTTATGTTGTGTCTACACCAAAGAATGCACGAATAGGGAAAGGAAATATGTCGCAAACTAGTAGCCTTCTACCGAAGGTTTGCCACAATCAGGCCCAAACTGCCAATACCAGAGTATAACTCTCACCACTCAAACCTATACTAGTGTGCCCATGTTCCCTCCCATAGAAACTCCCTTGTAAAATTCGGCACTTATTCTATCCATGTTTCAGTGAGGTTTCATATTGGCGAGGCATTCGAGAATACGTTACTTCTGGTACACATGCTTTGCATTCCAGTCCATGCTAGCATGAATTTCCGAGAACGGTGTTTGTTGGACCATGTTCAGCCTTTCAAGCAACAAGTGTGCCATCTAGTAACAGGAAACTGGTTTTCCATACAATGTCGATAATCACCACTTGACTTTCTTTGCCAACCAAACAGCAAGAGTCTCGGATCCTGCTCTGGTAAGAGATACCTTTCTCAAAATTGCTACCTCTCTCTCTCTCTCTCTCACATGTGATGGGTGAGGAAAGAGAAGATCCATGCCCTCATTTTCATCATGGCAAAATAGGTTGCTAAATGGCTAATTCCAAAGTCCAAACTGTTGCTTGTCTTGGCAAGCTTGGTGCATAGATGGTGAGGATGCTACGACCTTATTCCAGATCAGGATGACCTCATTATTTGAATCAAGTGTAATTATCTAAGTCAAAATACACAATATGAAGCTGCTTCCTGTTGTAGTCTCTCTACCAATCCGCTGATGGTGGCTAATTGTTCTTCTACCTTTGTGTCCACTACAGGTCCCTCAGGCAGCATTAATATAGCTGAAAGTAATATGCCTTCAAGATTGTAGCGTTAACTCTTTAATTGCTATCTCTGATTTTTTTTATATTTTTTATTTACTTTGAGTGTATATGCGTGTTTGTTCTACTGGTTTTAGAATTATTCAAGCAATAACAGCTTATCTAAGTTTTCTTTCATTCTCCTAAACACTAAATCTTACTTCTATGCAGATGTTGCTCTTGAAGCCTAAATAACTTCTAGAACGTACAACCAGATATTTGGCAATAGATTTAATGCTAACAGATCTGTATCCAGGAGAATCATTGTTCTTACGAGAGCCATAAAGTAGTGAATTATTTCGGAGATATGTGTAAGCTTATGTTTGCTCTTAAAAGTTCGGCTAGATCATTTTTATATTTCCTCAATTTTTTTGAATGTGAAATATTTCCTCTTTTATTAATTATCCTTTTCTCAGGGGCTTGTTTAGTAGCTGGGACATCATTCCAATCGTGAACACCTTAGCCACTCAAGCCCTAGTTTGATTCCTCCTTTTCTAGAAACATATTTTTGAATTTCTTGATTTTTCACAGCTTTTAACTGTGGTGAATATGGGCCCTTTTCCTTTTTCTTGTTTAACAGCAAAAAAAGAAATTGTATGCAACGAGACACTGTCAAAAGCTTAAGACCCAAGCAACGGATATGGGGACTTGTGCATCTGAGCTGTTCTCATTTTCAACAAATACATGGATATTTCGTCTTAACAGCGAGGTAAATCATCAAAAATTTCTTTCCTTTTTCTCTTTTGTCAGGCTTTAGCAAAAGAAAACAACATTATATACCTTCTGACCTTTTTCAAAAAGAACTTTAGATTGCTCTCTTGTATTACATACATATATAGAGATGTAGTTGGAATAACATAAATCACTTTTCTTGTTTAATTGTTTTACGCACAAGATGTTATCAAAATAAAATAGATCATTTTTTGCGTGAATAATTTATAAGCTTTGTTTGCTTAAACAACTAACATGCTTCTTTACAACATCAACCACCCTTAAATGAAAATATAAAAATATATTATAACCCAAGATAATAACCAATTTTCTTTTCTTGGAGGATATTATTTCTTTCATATCACATTTTCCTTTCCTTTAGCTTCTTCAATCCACATTCTTCTATATATTGTTGGACTTGAACAATTCTATATGTTGGTGTGATCTTCACTATCTCCATAACTTCTGAAGACTCAATTTCTCACCATTTTTGCTGACACACAAGCGTGAAAGGCTAATTCAATAATTTCATCTCCACAACTATACCACTTATCGATATCTTGACCCACTTTCTTCTTTCTGATATGGGACTCATGGAAAGCTCTGAACAACTTGGTCTTTGGTAGACATGTTCCACAGCTATACATTCACGCATGCTGTTGCCGGACCTGATAAAAGAAAAAATACCTTTCCAAGGACACTGAAAAAAGTGGGATATGAGTTAAGGCTATGCTAATCAAACCAAAAATGATGGTAGGGGATAAATCTGTTCTAATTCAACAAGGAACATATAACAAGACATTATGAGAAACAATTTATCCATCAAAAAAGAAATTGGGATTGGGAATAAATTTAACAAAGAAGGAAACATATGAGAAATAACGTAAAAAAGGAAATTGGTATGGGGAAAATATCTTTGGAGGTGAGGAAGGAGAAATAACTGAAAAGGGAAATTTGGATGGGAAAAATGTCCTTTGGGGGTTAGGGAAGAGACTTCGAAGGGTTGCGTGAAGAGGTGCCATTCGATTATTTATAGCAGATGCTTGAGTTATTTAACCCACCAATTTGTCTAACTATAGTTAGCTAAGATTGGTATTCACTAACCACCGTTGGATGGGACGCAAGTGGAACGCATCTGACTCTTTCTTATTTACATTAAAAAAAGAAGTATCTTCCTTACGTACGTTATATATAAAAAAAAAAGTCTCTTTCTTTTGCTCTTCCCCACGCTTGTCTCGATCCAGTACTTAGGATAAGGGTTGTATAAAGGTTTCCGTAGAAGTAAAGCGTACTTATAAAATTTATTTTGAGATGTCGTTTTGATGTTGAAGGTTTCAAAACCTCTCTTTATTGGCAGTTATAAAATATAAAATTTAAAAAATAATACAAATTGAGTATATCAAAAAATATTTTAAAATTTTGAAAATAAACTGTCTAGATAATTTATTAGAAGATGCACTATTATTTAGATTTAAAATTATTATTATTTTTCATGTCTATTCATCTCAAAGTCGAGATAATCAATTAGAGGGTTCTCATATGCTGGAACACTCTTCGATGAAAGATTTTTAACATATAAGGTTATAACCTTGTATAAACTTTTTCCTAATATTTAAGTCCTTCATGGATATTATCACTATCACAAAAAAAAACAGCTTCTAAATCTAATGGCACAAAGTAGGCATGTCATTGACTTTAATTAAATAAGTGTAAGGAACATTGTTTCATGTGGGTTGGACCGCGTTTCTTCAATATGCGATCTAGAGGTATAAAGCATGTATCTTTAAGATGGATGTAAATAGATGGTCTATCTAAAAACAAAGATAATTAAGAGTCCAAATGTTTTTTTAATTTAATTATTATTTCTAATTTTTAAATTTTTTATTTTTATTCATATTCATAATCTCCATATTAATGATTATATATTCACTAAAAATTAAGATCAAATTCTCCCATGTTAACGATTATATATTCACTAAAAATTAAGATCAAATTATGTTTAAAAATTATATTTATTGCAAGCCCGCATTTCTACCGTATGCCAACTGGCCGCATAGAAACCGGTTCCTAATGGCACATGTCATTGACATAGCCAAACTTATTGAGTCTTTTTAAATGCATACCGGCATGTGTGATCTTTCGGTAAGTAAAAGTACCCAATGCCCATGCACATCATAAGGACGGTGGAAGGCTTTGAGATTTCACGTGGGAACATCCTAATGGCCACAAATTCGGTTCATATTTTATCCTCTATTTTTTATTGAAGTAAAATATTTATTTGGATTTTGTGATGCAGGTTTTTTTGTAAATGACCAAAATAGCCCTATATTGATTTATTTTGACCAATATTTTTATTTAAAATATTTTATTATTTTTATTTTAATTCTACTTGTAAAAAATAAAAAACGAAGATCAAACCAAAATTTCAGATTAAAATTATTTTTCAAAAAATAAAAAATAGAAAATAAAATTCAGTTTTAGCCCTTCGCTGATTGCCGCTATTTCAATGGCGTGAATCTGAATGACGTTCTTGTGCACCTTTTAAAATACCAACCCTTTTGGGAAAAATCTTCGTACAGTCTTGTAGACGATTGAGCACCCTCCCAACGATTCAGGTTAAATAGGGCTGCATCGAACGGTCAAAATCTAGTTTTGTTTGTATTTCTTAATTTAAGTATTACATTTATAAGATTTAGGGTGTAAACTAATTTTTCTCTAAAGGGAACAAAATAAAATAACACTAAAATATTTTGAATAAAAATTTCCAAAATACCCTTAATGTACGTTATTCAATATTTTTTGTTGAAAATATTTTTATTATTTTTATTTTATTTCTCTCATAAAAAAACAATTTGCACCCGAACATTTAAATAAATATAATTTGAAATAAAAATAAAAAAATTGTTCTGTGGCTCTTAGATGATTCTAGGTTCGGACTGAACCGTTTAGCACCTCTTCAAGCGTCCGCATGTGGGGCGTTGTACCATCCTGTAAATTTTTTACTTAAAAATGACATTTATTTTTCACTTAGTATTAATATTCATTAATACATTCTTGACATATGTAATTTTTTTCTAACAATAACATTGATTATTTTCTTAAGATAGATTAGCCCTGCCGTTTACTTGCAAATTGCGAAAGCATGTCCAAACTTTGTCTGTCCTTAAGGCATTATGGAGATATGTGCTTTTTTTACTAAAAGCAGCAACTTATTTATCACTAAAAGTAGCGTTGATTTTTTTTATTAAAGGATGAAGTTTCTGTATGGTTACGAAAACAAAATAAATTCCCACCTCAAACGCTCGTCTAGAAAACGCTTTCGGCATAAAGTATCTGAAGTTGATTTTTATTAAAGGATGAAGTTTTTATGAGGCCTGTGTTTTTATAAAAATAAAATAAAGCCTTACCTCAAATCTTTATCTAAAAAGCACTTTCAGCATCAGAAATCTCTATAATGGCTCTAAAATCAATTTCCAACTCCAAAAATAAAATTTGAAACTCAAAAAATGATACGGATATTGTAGATATATAACATTTATTTTTTGAGCAAAATGGACAGTCTAAATAATTTTTTGTAATATACATTATTTTTACGGCTTGAAATCTTAATTTTTTTATTTTTTTTTATAATCGAGATCTTCAAGCTAAGATGATTGATTTAAAAGTTTTTGAAGCTTGAATGGCAAGTTAAAGGTTTCTCAAGCGGAGATATCAATCCATTTTCCTTTATTCAATTTGGTTTGAATATCACTGCTGAGAAATTTCCATCTCCGGTAGAGAGAGAAATTTGCCTTGAAGAGATGGAAGGGAATCCCTTGTGCTTTGTAAATATCGTTCTATTGTTCGTATTGAATCTAGCGACTAAACGATGAGGAAGGGTGCTCACCTTCATTGGTTCAGATTGAATCTAACTGAATATTTATGCATAAATTTTTTATTCTTTATTTATATTTAAAAATACTATTTTTCTCAAATTTGTTCACCAAGTAAAAAAAACTAATAAAAAATATCTTAAACAAAATAGTTGACCATAATGCCTAAAAAATATTTAGGGGCATTCTGGGTGATTATTTATTCAAAATATTTTTTATTAATTTTATTGGTGTGTCATATAAAAAATGCTCTACACACCAAATTATGCGTAAAGAGAATTTTTAAATAAAATTCATTTGTGACCATTGGATGAGGGCTTCTGTTATTGGGCCATCCACATCATGTGCATTGGAGACTTCCCCGCGTCTAACAAAATATGGGAAAAGTTTATATAGAGCTAAGGTTTTAAACAATCAAATTAGAGTCTATTTATGCCCAAATATCCTCAAATTGATCATCTCGACATCAAGAGACATAGGCATGAAAAAAAATGCATTTCAAGTTTTGGAAATATTGTATTTTGCAACACATTTTGAACCGTCAATTTTTGAGATTTTCAAGTTTTCATAGATCTTTCGATCGACATTATTTTTTAAGCTTTAAACTTTATAAGTAAAGGTAAATATATATTTTAAGGCTATCACAAAGATTTCCAGTATTGAAACTACATTTATTAACACTATTTAAAATATAGGTTTTAATTTGATTGTTTAGAGCCTGTGTATACAAACCACACCACCCTTCAAAGATATCCACACTTCACACCAGTCCAGTTGGCATGAAGCCCAAGTTTTGCGTCAGCAAAAGTAAAACTAGACCTTAAAACCCTATTAGAGAATGTAGTTCCTGTGCCCGATGACATGAGAATCTTTTTCCAACCTTGATTATGAAATTTGAAGTGCAAATATGTTTGATTTATAAATACTTGAAAAATGTACGGTTTAAGATAATTTGCTATAAGATGCATAATTTTAAGATTTTGAATTTTTTTTTTTAATATCTATAATTGTCATTGATCAATTCGAAAATTGTATTTTTTTGGCTAGAGATTGAGTTGCAACTTTATTGTATTCATGTATGACCAAAGTTTTAAGAAACCGATCGATGACCAGAATTGCCCATTTG